CGCGACGTCAACGCGATGTTTAAGCCACGTGTGCCACACGCACCCGAAACACCCCGCACGAGACAGGCTAGATGCGCAATGCCTCATTGATCCGAGTGCCTGAACAACTTCAAGAACCAGTCACAACATTGCCACATGGCGATTGACATATCATCGCCCCTGCGAACCCATCAGCCCCGCACACCCGCACAATCCTTCAGAATCCACAAGGGAACCTGCAGTGCCAGTGCCGAACCGTGCGTTGCCATATGTTCGAGCTTAACGCGGGTCGCGGGTGGGTGCCCTTGTGAGAATTGCCCCCTGGCTGAACAACGTCATCTGTCAGCTCCAAGACCTCTCACTGTGGACACGCGTCGGCGCTTCTCAAGACGAACGGACTTGTCGTTTGGATCCGCGAAGCGCTGCAAGACGCTCTCATGTTTCGTATAATGATCCATTGCGCTCCCCTGCACGTGTTTGGCGGACGCGCCAGGCCGGGGGGAAGCGAAAAATGCGACCTGACTCCCCCCCCACTGCCCCCTCTGTTGTCATCACCAGAATCACACAGACGCATCGTCTTCTCCGTTGGCGTGTATGGGCTGCGCGTTTCGGCCCCAAGTTCGACCCCCCGCATACACCAAGCCCTTCGTGGAAAGGGGGCGATAAAGGAAACCCGCATGAAAACTCTGAGCGCGCGTGTCTCGTACACATCAAGACCCCCTTCCCTTGGGATTCACAGTATACACCAAGGCTCGTTTGACATAGCGGCCAGTGCGAGCTCGGCTTGGATAGCTCCCACGGTCGGCAAGCACCGATTGGGGAATAAAAGGGGCGACAGGAAAGCGAAAGAGCGAAAGACGGAAGTGGAGGATGGGGAGCAGGAGTCGGGGATACATCCCCCGTCACTGCGGGGTCTCACGACAGAAAGCTGGAGCGGGACGCCAGGCCCTGGAGCCCGAGATCTCGCGGGCAACGCCAAGGGGAGTCCGCCGTAAACGGCGCCCGAACCACACTTCGGCCCCGCTCTCTTATGGTTCTCGCCGCCGCCCTCCTCCTCCCTCCCCCCGTCATCCCCCTTCCGACTTCTTCAACGTATCTTTCCTCCCCCTCGTTACCCATTTTTGTTCCGCCTCCTCCGGTTCCCCCATCAGCGTTTTGCGCTGCCGTCGCGCGCCCGAAGGCGGGGCCAGGTGCCGCGGACGGGGCCCGCGCGCAATGCCAGGGCACAGAAAGTTTCAGCCATGGGCTCGCCAACGCCTCCCCCCGCGGAGCTAATCACGGGCCGCGCGATGAAACGGATAGCACACGGCCAATGTTGCATCGACGCGCCCGTCATGCCCCATTGTCTCGGGCCAAATTTTGCCGCGCAGCACCGCGGCGCATATCATATGGGCCCATGAAAGTCGCTCTCTGATGGGGGGGAAGGGGCGGGAGGGGGAAGGGAAAGGAGGGAAGGGCAGAAACTATCGGCAATATTCTCCTACGGCCTTGAGCCACTGTTCCGGAGCTCCCTGTAAAAGAGCGCGCAAGCGAACTGGGCCATTCTCCGCTACTTTTAAAGCCCTCGCGCGAATATATCTGGCCCACTGCAGGCGGGGGCGCCCCCCGGCGCGAGCACTGCCCCATTCTCTCGGCAGCGCGTTGCACGCCCCCCCCGTTTCGAAACTCGGAGGTCAGGGCAGTCTGCGGCAAGTTCACCATGAAGTCGTAGTTGCCGCTGCAGCGGGAGCACTGATAACGGCTTGGCGTTTGCTGTCGCCCTCACTGTGGCACTGCTGGTCCGCGAATAACACGCAGGCTGTATTTTGTGAGCTCTTCGGAGGCACTTCGCTTAGAAACCATCGAGGCTGTCCTGGTCGGTTTTCAACGACACGCAACATTCCAATCCGCACAGCAGCTTCGAGAAACCACCAGCATACAACACGTTGTTGTTGTAGCACCTGTTGAGGTTAGGATGAGTCCTCGCTGCGCTGATGTTCTCGAATGCCCCCCTCGCTTCCCCGATCCTTCGTGTAAGTTCTGTTCAGGGGCTCGCGTCGGTGCTCAATAATCCACAAGATATACTGCGAGGTCCTTGCATGCGACTGGGTCTCCCTCCGGGCCCGCGACATTTGCTTCCGAACGCATCCTCATCAGCATTGTCTTCGAAACGCTTCTGGCTCCCACCCAAAAGTTTCCCCAACTTGTGTAATAGCATCCAATCAAATTTGGAAAGCTTCCGGGCTGGTGGCCACGAGCGCCGCATGATCGGCACGCGGGGCATCTTTGCTGACCGAAAAATGTATTGAACCAGCATTGCAATCATAATGTTCCAATGTTTTGTCGACCGTTTCCAATAGCACAGGCATCACGATGATGAACAAATACGGTGATAATAAGCACCCTTGCGCGATGCCTGCCGCCTGCGCTCTCCTATATGCACTGCCTTTCCAATGTTTGACTACGAACGCCCTGGCATGGCACATCGCCTGCACCATGTCGACCACAACCAGAAGAATGCGAAAATGACGGAGAGCAAATGTAAAGCCTGCTGGTCTGACTATGTCGAAAGCTCTACTCCAATCCAGCAGCAATGAGAGCAAGATCCTCCCCCCCCCCCGGTCCTCCAACGCGGCGTCGATGAGCCGTCGCGCCAAGAATAGAGCGCCCGACGCACCGCGCCCAGGACGAAACCCGCATTGATACTCTCTCGGGGACCCCTCCGCCCCGCCACCCCTCAAGCGATGTAGAAGAAATGATCGCCAAAACTTTGCATCCAACATCAAGCAATGATTTTGGCCCGCAGATGCTCGGCAATGACGCATCACCTTCTTCGAACATAACAACGACAGAAGCTCCCCGCCATTATTCTGGACTCTCTGTCTGGTGCCAACACGCACAGCAGAGATGCAACAGAACTGCCAGCGCTTCGTCACATTGCCACAGTACTACTTGCCACAAATCTGGCGGCACCCCATCATGTCCGGCTGCTTTTTGCACTCGTAGACACCTGGCGGCCCGACGTAATTCTCCCGATGGAATGCCATCCGCGATTGCCTCTTGCCAACTTCGCGTCGCTGGGCACTGAACAAATGCCCATTGCTCTTTCTCGAAATAATAACATCGGAAAAAATCAGTGGATGGTTTTCGCCGAGGAGATCGACCGGGAACCCGGGGGCCTGGGAGCCCAGAACCCGCCGAAATCGGCCCGGAACCAATAACCAGAGACCCAGGAATCCAGAACTGGAACCCGGGAACCCAGCCTGCCACCAAAATCGGCGGGAAACTTTCGCCGAATCTCTGAATAACACCGGAGAAAAACCCCAATCAGCGGATGGCTGTCGCTGAGAAGATCGACCGGGAACCCGGGGGCCCCGGAACCCAGAACCCGCCGAAATCGGCCCGGAACCAATAGCCGGGATACTGGGAAACCGGGACCGAGAACCCGGAACCGGGAACCCGGGGACCCAGCCTGCCACCAAAATCGGCGGGAAATTTACGCCAAATCATGCAATAAGACCGGAGCACAACAAAAAAACAATCAACGGGCGCTTTGCGCCGAGGAGATCGACTAGGAACCCCGGGGCCCGGGGCCCACCACCCGCCGAAATCGGCCCGGAACCCATGACCGGGAAACCGGGAACCCGAACCAAAAACCCGGGAACCCAGCCCGCCACCAAAATCGGCGGGAAACTTTCGCCAAATCTTGCAACTTCCGCTGGGGCCCCATCAATGCAAGCACTGATTGGGGAATCAGCCGTAGCTTCCGCCGTGGACTCTACGCCCACAACGCCCCCGTTGAGATCGCGCAGCCGCCCGCGCTGAGATGGCCAGCCTCTCCTCGGACATCGGGCCGCCCCCCAGCCACCGTGCTCGACGGAGTCCCCCAGACATTTCCCCATGTCCGCACGCGCGAAAGATTGAATGTGTTCGCTGGTTTTTCTGACCTCGCCCTTCTCGCCAACGCTGCGCATGCGCGCGCTCCTTTGCTCGATCAACTGAAACGCTCGCTGCTCAGTCCAAGGCCGGCGCGGAGCTGCAGCAAGATGCGGTAAATTCTATTCTGCCGATCCCAACACGCATATAGCAATAGTCTCGGCTTTGGCGCGGATGGAATCGCTTCGCGGCGCGCTGTTCCCTCCGTCGACAAATCCAGGCACGCATGTCCGCGCGGTCCCAGGTCCCCAGAACGCTCTCCAATCACACATTGGCTCCCGGCGGGAATCTCTGGCGATGGGGGCGTGAATTTCCAAGTCCACGACATGCACAGCATGGCGCTTTCGCGAGATTCTGGATCTGTCGCTCCACGCGCGCCATATACTCGAAAGCCAATCCAACTCGACGATCACGTGGCCCAGTTGCTCAAAACTCCCAGGCCGCACGATGCCCACTGGGACTGGGCGCGCGCCCGGGCCGCAATAAGCGGCCCCGGCGTGCTTGCCCACGTCGAACAAGGCATTCGCGAATCAGGCCCCCACGCCCACGCAACGTCCTACCCAGAGTTCTCCGCGGGGCAGAGGGCCCAATTTACCCTTTTGCTTTCGAACGGAAACTGCCCGATATTACGCTGTTCCCCAGTCGAAGCCCCCCAGCACCATCGCCGGCGCATGGGCGCGTCATCCCCTGGCAAAGTTGCCCAGATCAGACAAGAAATCGCGCCAGACGTCGCGCGCGCTTTCGCGCGATCGCGCAGACTGCGATCAGCGGCAAGATGCCCTCAGCGGCAAGATGCCCTCGGAAACCCGCACCCGCAAGCTCGCAATTCTCTCGCCACGCGGCAAATGCTCTCTCACAGCATACTTCGCCCCAAGCGCAGCAATAAATTCCACGCCAGCGCATTCCCCGGTTTCTTTCTCAGCCCCAGACAAAATAAAAAGGCGGCCTTCGAATTCACACGCCGGCGAACCACGGCAGTGCCAGAGCACTGCAATGCCCAGATCTTTCATACGATTGATCACTTCGCACAGCTTGCGCAGGCAATCCCGGCCGACGCCTTCGACGCCCCAGGACGCAATCCTACCGCGTGAGATTGGTCAAGAGGAAAAAACAACTTACCTCTTGCCAATTGAAGCTGCACTCAGATTGCCGAGGCGACGTCCGAGACCTCATTCGCGCGGCCTGCCTCCTTTCTCCCCTCTCCCGCTCCCTTTCGTAACAGCCCGCCCCAGAGGGTCATTGGCACGCGACGCAAGGCCCCGCACTTCCGGACTCCTGGCGAGCTCGCCCCAGTTCGCCCAGATGCCTCCCCGCTGAATATGCACAGCTCTTTTTTCCAATCTTCACTGTGACAACGGGCCCCTTCGCAACCGTCAGCTTGCACTCGCCCGCGGCCACTCGCGCCCCCCCTTCTGAATAGCCCCATACCAAGAAAGCCCCACGAGGACCGAACGGGAGGCTTTCTGGCGCGCGCTTCTCAACGGGCTGGTCAGCACGCGCCCATACTGCGTTTGTCTGGTGTTTGATTTGCGCTTTCCCGAAGGTGGCCACAGACATGTCGCAGATGGGGTTGGTAGCGGATTTTGCGAATAGGGCGTTGTTGAAGTCGCCCTTCACGGAAACATCGAGGGCTCTGGAAGTCAGAGAAGACGCACATGTTTTGTGCGAAATCGGATGGCCGAGTCGGAGTCGGCGAAAATTTCAGATCCACAGATGACTGCAGCACACTCTTTGTCGCGGCTAGCGGTGGAATCAGCGATCCGACGTTCTAGCACCGACATCTTTGCTTCCATGCGACTGGCAAGCGTAGCCCCGACGCGTTCTGGCGATAGGCCAGAGGCGTGCTCCAACGACTCCAAGACTCCAACGACTCCACGCAGGTAGTCCGAGTGGTAAGATCCTGACGGATTGGGGCAATTGCCTGTTTCAAATCCGACTAAAAGCTCCGCGCTGTTCGACGGCCCTGATATCGCTGCGCGCGGGCTGAATGAGGCTGGTCACGAAGAATCTGCTTGAAGTGCCCGACTGTTCAAGCCACTCCATCGCTGGCCGCCCCGGTTCCAGCTGCTTCTGCCATTGCTTCTCCGAATTGACGTTGGCGCGCAGCTACCAGATCATCACCTCCTGCTGCCGGGCCGTCGTCCATCTCGCGCAGCGGGCCGTGGATCCCACGCTGTTCGAAAAGCTGCACCTGCCAGACGGGGGCACCGGCGCGTCGCGTGACGCCATCACCCGAAGAAACCATCGACGTGGGATCGGAGCTCAGCAAGGCAGTACACTGAGAGTGCGATCAGGAGCAGGCGCGCGGGTTGAGGGCAGGCACGCTTGAACCTTGAGCCAGGCCATGAGCCACTGACCCCTTGAACCACTTGAGCCACGAGGAGCAGGAGGAAAAGGAAAGGGAAGGGATTCCAGGGATTCCGCCATCGCGCAACGGTATCATTTACGACAACGTACGCCCCCCCCGCCCGAGCTGGCCGTAGAAGCCGACGAACAAGAAGGACACGCACTTCAACCCGCACGCGGCCGGCTGAAAGAGAAGCCCGTGGAGCAACGAGATGATGCCGCGGATGGGTCCCTCCAGACGGTGACAGCGCCCACGGTGCAGAAAATCAAACAGCATGGCAGAGGCTAAGCTGAAATTCATTCGAGTCGATACGGCCCTTTATCAGGGCGAGAACACCACTGGTCATCGGGCAACCCAGGCGGATCGCCTCCTCCACAGACAGCCTCACCAACAGCCAATACCAAAGGACCACAACACAGCAAGCGAGCGACGGTGTGTTCACCCCTTCAATACAACCAGATGGATACATTAGGAGTTGAAGTCTATTGAATTGAAAAAACTCCCAGACCCACGATCCATCGAAAACGCCGCCGCCCGAGTGGGTCTTAGATGGGCTCGAGGCCCCCGTGCCCGTCGGTTGCGGACGGGATGCCAAAGAAGAAGGCCAAGGAGAGCACCACAACGAATACAGCCGCGCTCCGCCGCCCGAGTGGGACTTAGATGTGCTCGAAGCCCCCGTGCCCCTCGGTGCGGACGGGAAACCGAAGAGAGTGTTCGGGAAAATGCGAAAATTGAAACACAAAACTGCAATAACCTGAATTCGCCCATTCTTGCCATCCCACACCGAAAACAACTACCTTGAGAACGGATCTATGGTGGGGCTCTCAAGCGCCACGAGAAGGCAATGGGCTGAGCGTTCCATGGCTAGCTCGAGCCCAACTGGGCACGATGCCTTGGGCCACCCGTACTTGAGAAAAGAAAGGGAAGGGAGGAGAAGGAGGAGGAGGAGGAGGACGAGGAGGAGGAGGGGGAGGAGGAGGAGGAGGAGGAGGAGGAGGAGGAACAGGAAAGGGAATGTTAGGATGGAGGGGGACATAGGGACAAGGAGCAAAAAGGGAGGAGGGAGGAGACACATGAGGGAGAGGAGGGAAGAGGAGGGAAAACGGATGAGCATGGAGGAATATGAAGAAGAAGAAGAAGAAGAAGAAGAAACACAAATAATAACAGCATGAGGCGAAGGAGGGGCGCCCAGCGGAAAGCCCACCCGGGAGCGCGGCCGCCTTGGGCGGCCCGCCCATCACCGCCGGCGCGAGCACCGCCTGGCGCTTGGGAGGGAAAGGCGACGGCGCAACCCAGGCCTCGGGGATCGATCCTCGGTCCTCGACGGTGCTCGACCCTCGATGCCCGAACCTCGATCCTCGAAGCTCGAATCACCAACGTGAATAACTGATCGTCGACGTTGCTGGATCATCGGCCCTCGGAACCCGAGGATCCTCAGTCATTGATCCTCAACGCCCGAACCTCGAACCTCGATCCTCGATCATCGAACCTCCATCCGCGAACTGTCATCCTCGACCCCCCAGGCCAGAAACGGCGCGACTAGCGGCCGGCTTGGCAGACTTCTTGGAACCATCGACCCCATCGGTGTTCTATGGTTTTCGATGTCACAATCACTGCATCCATCACAAGCATCATCGTCACCACCATCAAGTCATCTTCATCATAATCCTCATCAGCATCATCAACACAAGCATCATCAGCATCATCACCATCGTCATAATCATCATCGTCTTCGTCATCGTCATCCGCATTGTGATCATCACCACCACCGTCATCATCTGCGCCACCACCATATCATCAACGGCATCATCATCATCACCAGCACCGCCATCACCATCAGCATCGCCAGAATCATCCCCCTCATCCTCACCATCGTCATCATCAGCGGAGGAGGGGGTACAGGAACAGAACAATCATTAACACGATCTCATTGATTTCTATTATCGCAGGCGCGCAATCCAGAACGGCGACGCTGGGACAATCGGACCAAAATGGGTCCACAAAAACGGGCGACTTGCTGTTTCAGCAACTAGCGCATCATCCGACGAATCGCTGGCTCCATCGCCGACACACGCGTCCGGCACTGTCGTAAGGTCAGCCCGCAATGCTTGTTCCAGCGCCGCCGTCAGGCCCGGCAGGCGCACGGCAAGTTCGGCCAAGCGCTAGGCCATCGCAGCGTTGACGACTCGGGGGAACTACGTTGGGCCTGGTGCCGAGTTGATATTGCACACTCCCCGCTTCCGAGGCTCGTTGGAGCGGATCAAGGCGGCATCTGCATTCCGCTGCCAGCTTGGACCGCAGCCACCAAGGCTGCTGCAGCCGCTGAGCTGCCGGTGGGAAGCACTTTTCATGGCGGCGCTCATTGCGACCCAGCCCGAACGACTTCCCCGCGCAGAAGGATTTTGGTTACTGGGGGACACGCACTGGTTCATTTTGTCATTCAATCTGCACATGCACGGCGAGGGTCCGAATCTCGTCACGCACGCATGCAACAACGAACATCCGCCGTCTACGCTCCAGCCGTCGCCCCGTCCCCCTGCCTTCATAATCTGGATCCACGCATAGGAGGAGAAAAGAGAGAAAGGGGGGGGGAAAAAAAACGCGGTAGCGGCGAACTTCTTTAGGATGCACCCCCCGCTTCCTGCGGGGATTCTCTCGGCAGTAGTGTCTCGGACGACCCCTGCCAGCATTTGTCACGCCAGCTGTCGAAGCCAAGGACGCCGCGTTTCCCGCGCCGCCCGCGCGACAGCGGGAAGCGCCGCGACGCCACCGCGGCCAAGTTCCCGTCGGCACTAATCGGGCTGAGCTGGCCCTCCAAACCTGGTTGCGAACGCGGTTTTCCCTGAAAATCCGCCGACCCTGTCGGCGTGTGTGAGGGGCTTATCCGTTCGAGCCGTCATCTCCGTCATTCTTTGTACTCGTCGTCTCTGTCCTTCCCTTTCCCTGGGAGACCTCTTCCCCTGGGCTCCAGCCAAGCCGACCTTGAGCAACCTCGTAATTGAGTCGAAGGGAAGCCCCTTCCCTTTGATCCCTCCCCCGCCGGGAGGGGGGGGGGGTAGCGACCCCCCCCCCGGGTCAGATACGACGCCCCCCCCTGGGACTCCTCTTCCCCTGGGCTCCAGCCAAGCCGACCTTGAGCAACCTCGTAATTGAGTCGAAGGGAAGCCCCTTCCCTTTGATCCCTCCCCCGCCGGGAGGGGGGGGGGGGTAGCGACCCCCCCCCCGGGTCAGATACGACGCCCCCCCCTGGGACTCCTCTTCCCCTGGGCTCCAGCCAAGCCGACCTTGAGCAACCTCGTAATTGAGTGAGCGATAACTCCTCTTCCCCTGGGCTCCAGCCAAGCCGACCTTGAGCAACCTCGTAATTGAGTCGAAGGGAAGCCCCTTCCCTTTGATCCCTCCCCCGCCGGGAGGGGGGGGGGGTAGCGACCCCCCCCCCGGGTCAGATACGACGCCCCCCCCTGGGACTCCTCTTCCCCTGGGCTCCAGCCAAGCCGACCTTGAGCAACCTCGTAATTGAGTCGAAGGGAAGCCCCTTCCCTTTCATTCCTCCCCCGCCGGGAGGGGGGGGGGGTAGCGGGGGGGGTAGCGACCCCCCCCCCGAGTCAGATACGACGCCCCCCCCCCGTACCGACCTTGAGCAACGTCGTCATTGAGTCGAAGGGAAGCCCCTTCCCTTTCCCTTCCCCGACGGGGGGGGGAGAGGAGGTCCCGGGGGGGGTCCCGGGGGAGTCCCGGGGAAGTCCCGGGTCAGATACGACACCTCCCTCCCCCACCTTCTCGTCCTTCTCCCCGTTCCCCCAAACCATCCCACAGCCCGTGCCTCTTGCTGCGCATTGCGAACAGGGTCGGCGGCACCGGCCGTCAGGCCTTCGCAATCTGACAGATGCGAATCGAAAGCGGCATCGCACGACGAAACGCAAGGGGAGCATTATGCCCCCTTCGCGCGGCCGCGGAAACGGAAACGACGAGGACGAAAACGACGACGACGGCGACGACGAAGACCAGTTCGAGACAGTCCGCTCGCGCTCACCACAAACGCGCGGATGCCGCGGCTTGCGGGGGCGCAACACAGCGCGCCACCAGCGCGACGGGGTTGCGCGACACACACCCCTCAAAAAGAAGGCGGCGGCGGCGGCGATTTCGGCGCACCCCGCGCGCGCGCCACGGCCGCGCGGGCACGAGCGAGCGCGCGCATGACACAATTCCCCCTCGCGCGCCAAGGGCGCCCCCCCCCCTGCGCGGGCGCGACGCGGAGGAGGGCGACGTCGGCAGAATGGATGCACCGATGCACCTGGCACGCGCGAAGATCGCAACCCTGGAAGGCGGAAACTAAGAGGGAGGAGGGAGGAGGGAGGGAGGAGGGAGGAGGGAGGAGGGAGGAGGGAGGAGGGAGGAGGGAGGAGGGAGGAGGGAGGAGGAATCGCGCGCCAAGATCGCAAATCGCCTCAGCGCCCCAGACACTGAGAGCACTTGGAAAGGGAGCGCGCGGAAGGAGAAACGACGGGCGCTGGAATGGCGGGCTGGCCAAAAACGGGCGGGGAAAGTCGGTGGCCCCCAAACGGTGTGGTGGCCACACCGTGCGGTGAGTCGGTGGGGATTCGGGGTCACCGCACGGTTTTGGGACTCGAGTCCTGCGCCGAGGACGTCTCGGGCGACAGGGACCTCCAGGGTCCCAAGACCGTGCGGTGACGGACCGTGCGGTGAGGTCTTGGGGGATTTCGAGGTCACCGCACGGTCTGTCACCGCACCGTTTCGGGACTCCAAAGAAAGGAAGGGAAAACGAAAAGCGGCGGCCGGGGCAGGAAGCGGCGCGGAGGAAAACAAAAAAAAAAGAGCGAAGGGAAGGCAACGGAAGAACCACGAAGGGCAATGACGCAGAAGGGCGCGGAACAGAAATGCGAGCAGCAGGGGGCGCCACTGACGGACGGGGAAGTGCGACGAGCAACAGAAAAGAAGCAACGCAAAAGATACGTTAGAGGACTCGGAAAGTGCCGAACGGCGAACGGGCGGAGGGGAAAGGGGGAGGGCGCGCGAGGAAAGAGGGAGGGAGGGGGGAGAAGGACGGGGCGGACGAAGAGGACAGGGAGAAGGGCGACGACGATTACGAGGGAGCGGAGGGCCACGAGGACAACGCGAACCAGATGTAGAAACAAACTATGATGAGGAGGGGGAGGATGAAGAGGAAAAAGAAGCGGAGGATGGGGGAGGACGACGACCAGGACGAAGCACAGGCCGAGGAGAGAGACACATGGGAAACGGCCACAGTGAAACGGGAAAAATTATGCGAAGCGGACGTGAAATGAGAGAAGGGGGGACGGGGGTCGCACGGCCCCAAAAAGCATTTAAGAATCTCCTCGGAAGCTCCAGGGAAGGCCCTGCTAGGCTCATAGAGAGAGGTCCCCGACACCACCTCATGGGTTCTTCAGGTTTCCCCTGATTGGCCCCTGGACAGGTCGCCGACTGGCCCTAGGAGCTGCCTGCGTGAAGCGAAATACCTATCAAGCGGCTCCTGAGAGCGTCTGCGATGCTCTTGGGATATCCTGAAAAGCTGCTAAGAGGCTCCTGAAAAGCGCCTGGGATGCTCCTGAAATGCTCCTGAGAGGCTCCCCAGGACGGCCCTGAGCGCACTTCGTGCGGCCGAACCCCACATCCGAATCATGCCGTGGGCGGCCACGCCCCTGCTCCGAACCCTGCCCGTCGGCGCCCCGGATTGAACCCGAAATCGAGCCGCGCAAGGGCTCCACATGTTGCCGCGCACCTGCCCCCGATATACCCCCACTGCTCAAAACAAGGCACGCCATAATCCGCCCAACTGTCGCTCCGGTTTTAGGGGGCCCACAAGGGACGTACGCGCCCAGCTATGCACATGAACACGGCCCCTTGACCCGCGAGACCGGCCGCGCGATACGAACATTCGCGCAATGCGAACTCTCGAAACCAGCGTGGATTCATCTACGTGCACGTCCTTCTTTCGCCCCTGAAGTTTCGGCGACGTCAAACTGGCACCTTCCGGGGGCGCCGCGCGGGGGGGGGGGAAGCCCGGGGCGCGCGGGCGGCCGCGGCGGCCGGGGCCCCGCGGGCCCCGCATCCGGGGCCCGCGAGTCGAGAGCCCAGGACTTCTCTTGGTTCTGGGGCGAGGCCCACGGACTTCGCAGCCGCTCGGAGCGCGACACTTCCTCGAGCCCACCGTCAAGAAACCACAAGGCCCGAGTCAGGGGCGGAGGGCCGCGGGGCCCGACGGCGACGGGGCGGGCCC